AATATTTTAAAAATTCACAGTTACATTGACAATAACAACTGCAGTGTAGTTATCAAGTGGAAAGTATAAAAAGTACATTCGTCCTTCGTTTTTAACTGAGCTCAATAGATTGCTTAACGTTCGACTGAACATGCTCGGCATTCCCAATTTCAAGGACTATTCTCACCGTTTCACAGTAGACGACTGCGGATATGAAAAAATACCTATCGAATATTTTATGCAAGTTATATATCGCGTTAAAAGCGCATTAAAGTAGGCGTGTGCCGCTCGCCTGATTTCTCTTCTTAAAGAAGCTGCTAATACTCCGGATACTCGAGCACTCGATTCCATCCCGGGGTATAGAATATTACCCGAGTGAACCGGGTAATGTCGGATATGGCTAATAACCCGAACACTTCAGTTAATATTAAATTTCATCAATCACTAAATTATAATGTATATATATCCGTGATTCAACTGCCTCGCATAAAGATAGAGATTGTCTTAAACATTTTCATTACCCATTGAATGCTAAGGTTGATATATTCGAATAATATGAACTAGAATATTTTTCGTCTTCCTTCAAATTTTTTATTTCCTATATGTTATAAATTAACACTAATAATTCGTTATAACATAAAGATGTGCAAGTTAGATGGTAAATTTTGCTTAATGGAAACAGAAACAAGAGGAAGGATGAACATTAAAGAATTGATTAATCTAATAATATAAGAATTGAGGTCAGGTTGAATGGACGAAAGTACAGATTTTAAAATCAAAGTTTATTGATAGATACGACAATCAATGAAACGAATTCAATTTTTCATTTTCTTTGGAATTCTTTTAGCATTCAGATACGAGTTGATTGGGTTAGATGACAATATTTCTAGTTACAATAGTTTGTACACTTGCGGTTTTGTTGTGACTGCTCGAGCTAACGTCCATGGGCAATTATTGATTGTAAACTTTTCCTAATGTAATAGCAGGGCAACTTCAAGTAATACCATTCATTGAGGTTTCCAAGGTGGTAGAAAAAGAGAAAATTCAATGGAAACAAAAAATCTAATAGCGTTGGATCCAGTGAACGTGCCGACCAAAATAGGATGTATCCATCACGGTACAGAACCTTCTGTCAGCCCCTTGTTGAATGGAAGACGGTAAAAACTAATAGATACTCTTACGGAATTTAAAAGCACGAAAGATTTTGCTTTAATTGTTCTCTGAATCCACCTGTGGTTGTGAATCACAGGTTCAAATGAAATGAAAAGCAGAAACGGTTCAAAAAGGTTTTAATTGAATAGAATTTTAAACAGTGTCCTATTGCGAGAAACAAAGAAAATAATTAGATGTTCTCCTTCATTTCGAATATCCTCTAGAATTTGAGAAACAAGTGCCAATGACCACTACAATTTCAAAAGAAAACCTATCGATTACAATAATAATATTAAAATAAAACAGATGCATAAGTATAATAAATTTATGAAGATTTTTAAAAATGTCAACATACAGTCTCATAGCTTTTGTGTTGAAAGTATGAAATTTCGGCGGCACAAATTTAAAAAAATTCTGTACCAGCGAAACCCATTTTGGAATATGTACCCTGCATTCGCTAATTATTATCCGCTGCTTACATTTATTTAATTCGCGAAGAGCTTAACACGGCAACGACCTAAGTACAGTCGAAAAAAATGGGCGGCCCTCGTGTAATTTTTCCGGGTCCCTTTCCGCCTACGTTGCGATCACGTTTATCTGATGATTAAGCGTTGTCTGAAATTAGTGTGCTCAGTATTCTGTACGTCAGCTCGCGTTTTATTCGCAATGTGCGTGGGTGGCTGACTATATGTATATATATATGTATACGCGCCTATATCTTGATGTGGGTGTACTGTCAACCTCGATAAGGAATTTACAGTTCAGCTGGCATTCAAAATTAACAAAAGTCTGAACGAACATTAATTAACTAATTCTCCTACACAATACGCTATCGTAAAGTCTCAATAAACAACGCGAAACTCGCTGAAAATTCGGATAAAGATGGAATGAATGTCGAAACATCTGAGAATAAAATTATTTCGCAAAATGTGTTGTGCTTTCTGTTGCGGTCATTTGGAAAACAAAATACTATAACTGTAGATGTATAGAGGTTTTTTTGTAGATTTATCGGATTTTGCTAAAAGTTACCATTCAAGTAAATTGAATCAATTTAGATTCTTACTTGTAGTGTGATGTATACGTTTACATATATATTTATTCCCCAATAATTCATATACTTAGCACATGTATAATTTAAACAGTCTTAACATGCCTTGAACAAAGAAAACAGAGAAACAGAATAATAATACAGGATGCAAGGTGTAAAATAGTATAAGAGTAATTAAGTTAGTTACCACACGAAACAAATAAGATCCAAAGGAAAATTCGCAATTCCCTCTTTTGCAGGTATAAATAGAAAGCAAACACGATAAACACTGTAATTATAAAATCATTTAGAAAGAAACATTTACTCTTTATTTAAATTACAATTTCAGTTTTTAAAATGAAGAAAAGGCAAGATCTACCATACAATTAAAACTGTTTAATTATGCATCTCAGTGGGAAGATAAAATATTGATAAAATACGTCCAACTATATTAGATGCTGAAGTACCAACAAAATTCATCTCGAAAAATAAAATCATCCGTTACCGAAACACATAATTCCCCGTAGAGTCGGTCATTTCGAAAAATTCCAATTTCGAAAGGTTTCCACGGACTTTCGTAAATCTCGAACTTCTGGATATTTACAATAATTGCTCGGCAGCGTTCGAGAGACGTTACACTCGCGTAACGCGGCAGAAGAAAATCCTCCCCCGTAAATCCTCGCGCCGTTTCCGCCCGATCGAGCCGCTCCGAAACGCATCGGCGGGTCTCCGGGAGCCGCGTGGGTGAATTAAACACCGAGCTTCCCGAGGAGAATCCTTTCTCACGCCCACGCTGCCCGCGGCGGTGCGCGGAAGATGAACGAAGATTGTCCGCCGCGGCGCGGCGCCAATTAATCAAACGTTTCGCGAAACGGAATAAGGGGCCGGCGACAGTTGCTGGTCGGGCGGTCGCGTCAATTAAAATTTACCGCAATCGGAAGTTAATTGTTCCCAGGAGGAATTGCCCGGTTCCGCTCGTGCTACGTCCCCATCAGTTTTTCCCTTGTTGACAAATGTATCCTGCTTAGCGCGCGGAAAAGGATTATCCGCGAAAGGATCATCTGTTGTGCGACTTAGACTAGAACGCTAGAGAAAGGAGTGACTTTTTTTTAATATCAATTTTAATTACTTTGTCAATTTTGAATAGGAACGAAATTAATTCTTGTAAGTTTCATTTTTTAAATACTTTGCTCAGTCTTCATCCGATCTTATTTCATTTTTTATGTTGATTCACTGTTCGTCAATATCGTTACACATACAGACATCATTCTTGTAGGAATTACGCGTCAATAATGGTGAATACTCGGTAGTTCCAGTGTTAAAGAAAAGTACTGTTTTGTCTGTTTCCATACGTTTCAATAATTCTTACAGTCCTTCGGACGCAAGCGGTAGGAATTGTTGGAATTGTGTGTGCAAAGCTCGATGGAAACTTGTAGCAACCATATAGGACTTTATATTAAATGTTATTTTAACGCTAGAACCACCAGACAGGTCAAAATGACTAATTCCTGATGTCTCCTTTTTGCAATTATTGAAAAGGTTCTCTGAGAAGTTACTAACGAAATTGATTTAGTAACATCCAAATTAGTCAATCGAAACCTTTTCGGTGGTCTCTTAGAGTTTCTATGGGAAAATGTAAAAGTGAACTGCTCGGTAGTTCTAGTATCAAAACTATAAACAAACTACGCAGAACTCTCAATCCTTTTTCATCCAGCTAGCATTTTTGTCGAAGTCGCACAATGTGATTTTTCCACCGAAATTCCACGAAAACATTTATCAACGAAATCAGTAAATATTTACGTGTATATGTGGCTGTACACGTCCGAGTTTACAAACTGAAATCAGCGGCGCTAACGAGACGCGGCACACGTCACGTAGAAAACGTCGGCTGGTGACGTCAGGGACGGAGCACGTTACCTCGCGAAGCAACACCTTATCCTCGGTATCATTTCGGAATCCTCTTCGAGACAAACGTTCCGTCCGGTTATCGAAATACCATCAGATTCGTGTGGATTTAACGACGACACGTTTATCCGGGTGGAAGAGGAGAAAGAATGATTTTCTCCGGTCGAAGGAATTCGAAGAATTTTAATTATCGACGAATGACGGTCGGACGCGTCGGTCTCTAGCGTGGACCACCGGTGTTCCTAATATTGAAACCGATCGTTGAAATACGACGCGGGCAGCGGGACTGACACAGAGAAGTCGCAGCTCGTAAATATTTTGGAAAATTTCATTCGGCCGACGACGACGCGGATAGGGGGCACGCGATATAAATCAGACAGCCGCGTTTTCGATGGCCACCGGTGCGGTGCGGTTATCAGATGAAATTGGCTGACCCGTACCGCTTCGGTCAGACGTTAAAAATTCTTCTGACAGACGAAGATTCATCGGCTTCCGCGTCCGGTTTTTGTCGCGGTTTCAAGTGTCAACGTTGACCCGGAAACGGCGTTACACAGAGCGATTCTCGCACGTAAATCCCCGCGGTGAACCAGCAACGGTAGCCGTTCGTGCGCTATCAGAGACCCGTCTTACGCGTTTGAAGCGTGCCGAGCTCGGCGGACGTAAAAATAGACGCGCGAATGCAGAGGCAGACAGAACGACAGAGGTGTGCAAAAAGAGAAACAAGAACGAAGACAAAAGAAAACCGAGCAAGAGGGGGACAGAGAGAGAGAGAATAAACCGATCATCTAAAAGAAGCCACCGAGTCGACGATAGTCCCTTGGACGAGGGCCGAGAGACAGCGATGAAACAGCATAAAGTCCTTGGACAGCCCACCCGCGAGATACGAATCAAGACGAACGTTCGCCGCGTGTAAGAGGAAATCGTCCGTGAAACTCACCGGATGTAGCCAGGGCTATAACCGTCATCAGAGTCCAACGTTTCATGTTTGCTCGATTGAGGAATCGGAGCGGCTAGCTCCTTCCACGATCACCACCGCCTCCGCCAGCACCGGCTTCTCCGCCACCTCCGCCTCCTCACCGTTCGGTTGTCCTCGCACGTGGCTGCCGACGCGTCGAACAGAGGGAGAAGCGGGTCTGGTACCACTCGAGTCGCAGGCACCGAGGGAAGAGCAACGAAATATATATACACTCCCGCCCCCGTGGAACGCGAGAGCTGAATCCGATCCGGCCTCTCCAGTCCTCTCAGGGTCCGCGTGAACATACGTGCCCGGCGGAGGACGCGAATGGCATCGTGTTTGCTCTATCAGGGGCACGTGACAGCCTCTGCGGACCCGCAGCGTGTCCCTGTGCGTACACCACGCAGCGCGCACTAAACCCCGCGGACGATCTGCCTCCGTGCGCCAGCATCGTCGGGCATCGGGGACATCTCTGTTTTGATCGTTTCCGCTCGATGATCCCGGCCCACCGAGAAGCCTCTTCGTCAGCTGGCTGATCAATTCCTCCCGGAGTATCCGCGCCGAACACTGCGGGTACCCAACGCGTTCCGGACAGGCAGAAGGAGACGGAGCTAGAGGGTGACCGGATAGATTCACCGATGCACGGGCAAGAGAATTCTAGCCGCGCGCGGCTCGGAAACGGGTCTCGGCGAGAGAGGACAGCTCATTCGACCGAGACTCGGAAATCCCCTGGATCGGCTCTGCTCCGCGACGTCCGAACCCCCGCCGCCAATCTCAGAGCGCGTCTGACCGTCAGCACCGCGTCGTCGCCGCCGCGGCTGTCAACATCCTCCTTCCCAGTCGGCTGATCCTCGCGGACGATCTTCCTTCGTTAGGGGATCGCGGACGTCGATGGCCAACCGTTCAAACGAAGTCCCCAACGACGGTCCCGTTATCCGCTCGACAGGATTGTCAGATGCGCCCTGGCCGGCGACCAACGCTGGACTGATTTTCATTTGGCTGCAACGCCGCGCGGTACCACCGCCTCCGCTCTCTTTGGCGCTAGCGCCCCGTGCGGCCTACCGCCGCGCTGATTCCGCTCCTCTCTGTCACACCCCCGCAGCTGGCAGCCCGTCCGCCGTATACCCGTCCTCGTTCAGATCGGACAACCCCGACCCTCCCTGCCACCTTTCCGTCCCGCCGCTCGCGGAGAGCGGTCCCGCTCGCTCCCGTGCAGCCCACATCCGCGCATCGTCGGGTGGCATGGTATACCATGCGGTACAACCCCCTTCCGCCTCGTTCTCGTCGAGTTTCCCTCCTCATCCCGCCGCTATAGTGCATGCCAACATCGCCGGAGAAGAGAGAATCGTTACTATGGCGAGATCAATATGATAGGACGGCGCATGCCTCGGTATCCTTATACTTAAACCCTTCGCCGCTACACGCGTCCCGTCTCTCTCGCTCCGGTTCGGCTGGCCGCGTTAGCTGTCCCGCTCGCTGCTCGACCGTTTCTCCTACCCGCGGCCGACCACTTCTCCAGCTGTACCCCTCGCGTTCTCCTTTCTCCCTCGTTCCCGTTCCCGTTCCCGTTCGCCATCTCGCTCCCACCCCCTAGCTCTCCGTTCCTCACGTGACGCACGCCGGAGAAACGTAGTGTGCCAGACACCGTAGGTGAGCGCGGCGTTGACTTAAGTCGCTTCAGTCAACACAGAACCGTATGCGGGAGGATACCGTCTTTCCCTCTGAGTCCTCTTAACGCCCCGATGCTCCGATTCTCCTTTGTGTCTATCCGCGCTTCCGAGCTTTCGTTTCGACTCCTTTCTTCGGGCACCCCGGTTCCCTTCCACGCCGACCCCCGGCCCGCCGCCTCTTCGTCCTCTCGTCGAGCTCGGGACCGGGGAACCTGCCAGATCCAGAAATTATTCTCCCGTAGACACCGGGCCTCTATCCCAGTTTCTTGCCCCTCCGGCCGACGATTGATCTCGATCGTCGATGCGCCGCGACGCCGGCCATGCCGACGCCTTTGTTTCCGCGGCCCGTGTATCGCTGAATCAAAGCCGCCGCTCGAATCGATGGGCCGGATTGATACGCGATTTCGACACTGACCGGCGATCGCCGGGGATCCTGCACACTGCGAACGTTTCCTTTGACAGCGAGCCGGTTACACCGGTGCCCTCGTGATAGACGCGTTTTTGCGCCGCCAGTAAAGCTGCCCCCATCGTTTACCGAAACTGCTTCTATTTCACCGATTGTATGACACGCGACGCCGCGATCGTGTCGGACAACAATGGCCTTCCCTTTGTTCCGCTTAGCCTTTTAGCTTCGCGCCCTGGCTAAGGAGCCGTGGGTATCGCGAAGAGCACGCCGCTGCGAATTTCCAGGATACGTTTAACTGGCTATTAGCGGATGTCACCGTCTCGATGTACGTTTAGTAACGAGGCACTAATTATTAACACATTCGTTTCCAGTATAACTGACCTATCATTTGGCTGATGACGGTGCCAAGTGGACCGGACGATTTAAGCACTTTTTATTTAACACGTACGTTGGAGCATTCTAGCCGTTCCAAACGAACCTAGTATTCGGAAGCAACTGGATCAAATGGTATACTAATATCACCAGTTTAAAATTGAACTGAAGACTTCGGTGCCAGGTATGCATCTAGCCAGACAAGTCAGCGATGAATGTGTTAACCCCTAGCAGGCCGATGGGTGGAATCTATATAAAATGTACAGATGACTGGCGGGAATACGTTAATTTCAAGAAGCGAACATCGCACTTAACGTATTAACCTGTTAACTATGAAATTTAATTTCAGAAATCTCTGATAATGCTCGCAATGAAATCAAATAATGAAAAATTATAGCAAAACGAAGAAGCATTATATGTTTACTTGAAAAAATAACTATTTCATTGTTGAAAGATTTAGTATCGTTCCAAGCTTTAAAATAACGTGTATACTCGTCGAACATGGTTAACTGGTTAAGTGAGAAAATACTGACAATAATAATAATGTAATAAGTAAAATGTCATGTGTATTGCGATAAATATCGTTTTATTATTTTTATGAATGTTCTTGTAATTAATTTATCTCTGTTTATCATACGTAGGCAAGAGATCATTATACAAATTCTAATTTTCAAGAATATAATTAGAAAAATAGAATTCCGCCTAATAATGCTTCTTCCAAACGAATATCATAAGAGACACAACTTCAATTTTTTTGTATCGCATGCACCTGCGCAATTTTGTACATTCAAATTTCCCAGGAATGCATAAGAAACCCCACACCAGTTATTTGTACGGGTTAGACCGAGACAAATCCGATCACATGGAGATTCGTATCGAAATGAAAATCCAGTTCGCATCCGTTACATGGCAAACTGAATTTTTTACTCCCAAAAGAAATATTAAAAAGTTTGTTTTATTTTGTACTACTAACGTTCTTCATAATCCTATTAACTACTTCATCGTTAATAATTCATTAACAAAAGAATAAATTTTAATTCTTGGTCTACATCCACGTTCACTCCAAAGTTTAACGGTTAACAAGAAGCAAGTAAAATTCAAAACAAATAAACGACACTGAGATTTCTCAAATTCAGTTGAAAATTTTCGTCTCGAGTCTGTCACGCTATCGCAGATCAAGAGGTCAAATAAAGAAAAAATGTTAAAGTATTTGTTCACTCTTTTTCCCAGATGCGAAACAGAAAATGACCTAATTCGCCTCAGTCTATAACGTCCTATGCGATACAATAAGCAAACTTAAAATACTTCTGGACCGTTAAGGTTAATAAGCCACGCCGCGACGATGTTAGGAGAGCCAGCCGACTTCGTGGAACTTGAAACCGCGGACACACTCCGGATCCAGGGTGACGTTTGCCTCGGCCGTTACTGACCGCGCCGTATTCCGAGGGTGAACGGAGTTTTACTGCCGGTCACGGGGACCCGTCCGTTCGTCCCCGCGTAACGTTCTTGCCGCTTCTCGTTCGGGAGCGTTATAGTTTTATTTTCAACATACGCTTCGATTCCGCATGGAAATCGCGCACCCGCGGCGCGGCTTACCGCGATTTCTGGATCCTTCTTCGTTGTGGAAACATTATTTCAACGTGGCGGAACTTTATCGGAACGTTCAATCCTTTGTACTCGAAAGCTTCTTTTGGTGAAAATAAATTTCCGTTGTTTCCTGACGACTTATCGATGATGTTTCTTCTTCTAATAATTAACTTTGTTGAGTCACGGCTTAATAGAGTCGAAACACATCGTACAAGCGCGTCTTAGTGTTCAGACATAATTGTACACACGAAAAATACAGTCCACTAACGAACAAGCAAGCGGTTTCATTTAATCAGCTCCAAGGACGCTGCTGTGAACACTCAACAGACTTGAATAACAGAACAGAGCCGTTTGATTGATTATACTTCGTATATTACAGGTTCGGAAATTTCGGTTATATTTTGCCTATGCGCTGTATTGATTTTTTAAATAAAATATTAAGTTCTATTTAAGTTTCGGGTCATTTTTATAAACTTTGATACTGTTTCCTTATGTTTTCGATGTTTTGTAACGTACACTGCTGTCCGTGACCGTGTGTCCCTTAAAAATATTTTCTTACAAAAATTGGCGTGTACCATATGCGGCGCATGTGGCACTGAACGTGCTAACCCTCTGCGACGAGTGTTTTTTGAACTTCCAGAAATTCTTTTCATAAAAAAACTGGCAATCCATCGAGCTCTTAAGTACTGGAAAAGAAGGAAATCGCGTATCGATATATGCGATATCCTAATCCTGACGCTAAACCTAATTTCTCATTATTCGAATAATGATACTATTTATTCGCAGCTTTCGATTTCAGGTATGAAAGCTTAAAGTGGCCATTATGGCAGCATTCGACTGCAAAGGGTTAATACATTATATAGAATTTCACACTGAATATTCAAGTTTTGAATTTTAATGCATCAAAGTTTAAGCATTATGAAACAGCTAATGATCTGGATTCCTAACGATTGTAAAAACCAATACATCTATATTGAATTGTGTTATATATTATATACAGAAATAAATTAAGTGTTTAATACAGTTCAACATAGATATGCTGATT